CATTTAGAGGGGTTGCATGTAATGAGTTATCTCATATCTTAGTTTCACCTTTTAAGTTGCATTACTGAAATAAATGAACTTTTGCACGACATTCTAATTTTTCGAGTTTCACCTGTAAATGAAACTGCAACTGTGCTTATGGTCTTACTTAAGCTTTGTTTTACATACCTGCAAACCCTCTAAATGTGGTCATTGGTTATAACATTTTTTCCATCACCCTCCTAACTATTCCATTATGAAGTTACTTAGCAAGGAACACCTAATGCAATTCTATATAGAGAAGAAACTGTTTAGTTTAATGAAGCTGAATGGGGGGGAGGAGGTGTTTCTGCTTTTAATAAAACAGTCCATTATATCTTTCACATAATACTTTAAAGGCAATGTATGAAGTACGTGCAAGGATAGAAAAGTACAGAGAGGTATAGTTAATACTGTAGCATTAATCCCAAAGGTGCTTTTTCAAGAGGTAACTGGTGCCTCTTAAAAAAGCAGCTTTGGGACAACTATGACCTCAATGACTAGAATCTCCATAGACTATTTTATTGGCATAAATTAAACATAGTTGTGCAGGCTTATTTTTATATTATCTAACTTCCAAATAAAAACAGAATACAATTAACGCACAATTAAAATTTCAAAGAAAACTCATATCACTGCCTGCCCCCAGAGCATTTCAGAATAATGATAATGATTAAACATTATGCCACCCAATTTTCAATGACTGGATGACTTGCAACAATCAAAGTAGAAAGTATGGTATAAAATGAAAATGAAAATTAAAGGAAAAATTGGCAAGGATGATGAACAGAGGAGTCTCACTCTCCCTCAGCGAAGGCCAGAGTGAAGAGCAGGACTTCACAGCTCTTCAAAATAACAGTAGACTGAGAGCCATCCAGATTTCAAGGGGAACCTTGTTCCAGAGGCAGCCACCACTGTAAGGAGACACACTTCTGGGATCCTGAGAGATAGCATTCTTTAATGGAAGGCATCTATAGCACACTAGCCCTACAGAATGAATCAGCCAGGCCGATGTTACGAGAGAAAAAATAAGATGGTCTCGACCAGGGGTGTCAAACTGGATTTCTTTGAGGGCTGGATCAATACTGTAGTTCTCTGCAGGGCGGGGAGATGGGATGGACATCTGCAGGACTTTGCTGGCCAAAACAGTGCATCCCCAGCCCATTTTTGGCCTGGATGGCCTCCTGCAACACTTAGCCGGCAAAAAGAGGGCATGGGGGGTAGCACACACAGACACACCCCATGTCTCGTTTTGGCTGCCAGAGGCACCGCAAGCTGATCCTTTGCTATTTCCAGACAGGCCCTGTGGGCCAGATTTAAGCACCCCATGGGTCAGATCCGAGTTTGACACCCTAGTACTCTAGACAGATCAATGGATTTTAAACAAGGTGGCAATATTCTTATTTTGGTGAGTACATTGTTCCACCATGTGACCATAACTGAGTGGTTCTGTGTCTGGCCTGCCATCCCCTTAACTTCATGTGGAATGGGGACACAAGTTGAATACCAGACTTGCTAATTCTGGTTAAGTATGCAGCAGGGGTGGGTTTCTCGCCCCGTTCCAACCGGTTCGGTTGGAACGGGGCCGGCGGCATCCTCGTGCACGCGCGCAGTGCACGCATGCGTACTAGCGTCTGTGCGATATACTCCAACTGCTCCTGGAGGATCGCGCAGGCGCTGTATGCATCCTGCGCATGCGTGGAAGCGCAGAACTCGTCAAAACCGGGTAAGGAGCGCGAGCGGGCCCTTCGCTGTTCCTGAAGTTACTTACTTCCGGGTTCGCCGACCAACTGGTTCGCGGGGACCACCGCGAACCGGTTGAAACCCACCCCTGGTATGCAGGCACCAAGACATCTAGAGCTTTAAAAGTTTAAACTAAACCATTGGGTTGGCTGGAATTCTGCTGGTAATTAACGTAGTAAATATGTTAACATATTTAATTTTGTCTTCTCAGGTCCTTAATTTCTTTGACTTACCATTCATTTCTTTCTTCCTTTGCATTTTGCATATTATTACATATCCCAAAAGGGAATATAGATAGTCCTCGACTTATGACCGCAGTTGGAACCAGAATTTTCATTGTAAAGTCAAGGCATTCATGTGACCAGATCCAATTTTATGACCATTTTTACAACAGTCTTTGAATTGTGGATCTAAGTCTGAATTTATTTTACCCAAAAGGCATTTTTTTGTGGGAAACTAGCAAAAAGTATCAAATTGCAGTCATATGACGGTGTGATGCTGGAATCAGTCCTACATATGAGCCAGTTGCCAATAGCTCACATGTATGATCAGTTCATACATGCGGCATAGAAACCCAAATGTAATCATATGACCGGGGGAGGGAGACATTTTATGACAGCCAGAACTGCTTAAAACACCCTTTCCGAGGCCATTGTAACTTTAAATGGTGGTTAAATGACCATTTGTAAGTCAAGGTTTACCTGTATTCGTGCTATGGAAGTGGCAAAGAATTTCCCATTTGGAATATCTGTTTGTTTTAAGAAAGGAAAGCACTCTTTATATTACCTAATTACTGCACAGAAACCATTTCCGTCTAGAAGTTAATTAAACACTCCTATATAAATCCAAAATACATTTCTAGCTGTGCAGAGTAATGAATAATTAAAGCATTGTACATATCTGGTAAGAAACATCTGTGTAGAGCCTGCAATTGATATTCTGTATCCTAGTAACTTATCATAGAAGACAGAATTGAAGATGGTGAAGGAATGCAAGAGCTCTTCACAGATAAAAGAGACTATAAATAAAATCTCAACCATAAAAATGAAGTAAGCATAAGAAAATTAAAAAAGAAATTAAAATAATCCTGTCCTGATTCTACATAATATAAGGGAGTGCAGAAGGAAACTGCAGCAAGCTTTCCAGATATTATTACAATAGTTGAGTTCCAGTAGTCCTTGTGAAAGCGGTTTCTTAACCCAGTCTACCTTGAAGAGCTGACATCTATAGGATTTATTAATATAAAGGTAAAGCCTTCCCCTTTCCAGTCGTGTTTGACTCTAGGGGACAGTGTTTGTCTCCATTTCTTAGTCGAGGGAGCCAGCCTTGTCCAAA